CACACACACACACACACACTGATGTCCTTGATTGTTGTTTTGTACAAAAATAATCCGTCAGTTTGAGAAACTGCGGTTAAAACAGTAGCGGTGTGAGTGGAAAGGCATCAGCAGACGTTTGGGGACAGGATTCAGTTTTTTTCCATATTTTTCAGTTAGATTTCGCTCCACAGCCGCTGCAAAGAAAAATCTAATGTTTGTTTGTTGTGTGTTTAAAATACGGCGCTAATTCAACACTTCTTTGCTCGGATTCTTTAGTTCTTTTAGAGTTGCTGTTTAATCCACTCAGTTGAATATAAGCAACTCTGACAACCTTTTTATTGTATTTTTTTTTTTAAATATACCAAATTTAGTCTGAATTTTTTGAATAAGCTCCGACGTCCCGGATATTTACCTGACATGACCGATGACGCGTTTCTGCTGCTGCTGGCATCGCATCACACTTCGCTGTTAGCCATCGCTAATGTTAGCTGTCAGTAAAACCTTCCCCATTACAACGCATTTTGTTAAAACTCCGGTCCATCGCCGATCTGTAGCCCATGCTAGCTAGCTAGCTCACAGCCAGGTGTGTCGTCATATTGCTTTGGATGGCTTAATTAATTCTCTCCAGTGGATGGAAATGTCCATAAGTCGCATTTTCATTTGTTCGATTTTTTAAAAAGTTTCTCAAAATTTGCGTCGTGCTTGGATGGAAACGCGGTTAAGTGTAGAATTAGAACGCCAACTTTTCTGTGAATTCTTACGTCTAAAAAACATCATCATCATCATTAGCGGCGTAGGATGCAGAAGTTCGTCCTGCAACCGGAGGGTGTTGCAGGTTCTAATCCAAGCTCATTTGTTGTGCCCTTGGGCAAGAGACCTGATCTGATCAGAGAGGAGCTGATGGTGTTCAGAGCGCCCGTTTACAGCAGCTTTGCTTCTGTTAGCGTGCCCCAGAGCAGCTGTGGCTACAATATATCAGAAGCATGAAGTGAATTTATCAGTTATGCTGATGATACTCTGCTATATTTGTCCTGTTAAGTAGGGATGCATATAATGGGCCCCCTATCGGTATCGGCCTTAAAACTGAATATCGGACATCGGCCACCCCACCGATATTTAACCCGATATTTGATCAGCTTCTGAGTTTATAAAGTCTAAAAAATAAATAAATAAAAAATACTACTTCTTCTTCTTCCTCAAAAACTTCTTTTTTACAGACTTAAAAACCAAAAATATCTTCATATGCTGATATATTGCCATTTAAAAACACCATATCAATCTCTGTTACTAATGAAATATTGCTATATGTCATCGTTATGCTACGAAATCCCCCGAAAATTCACCAAATGTTGCCATATTTTTATATGTTGATATATTGACGCGGTATCGATCTATTTTACTAACAAAATCTCACAAGAATTTGCAAAATATCACGAGAGTTTGTAACAGAACGATGAAATTTCACCAGATTTTGAAAGTAAAATAGATCGATACCGCGTTTTTAAAAATCTATTTGATATCAGCATATGAAAATATATTTGAGTATATTATTTTTCAAAGTGTCAGAAATGGATAACAAAACTGCTATTTTCAATGACTACTTATTTTTGTCCAGCTTTAACATCGGTATCGATATCGGTTATCGGCTACATGAGTTTTAAAATATCGGCATATCGGATATCGGCCAAAATCCCAATATCGTGCATATCTACTGTTAAGTGTTAACTCTGGTCAGTGGTGTAAACTTTGGACACAGTAGTGTTAACGGGCTAAACTGTGATAAATGTTGAATTTAAACTATTTAGTCTGTTGTTCCAACTCTCTCACAATGTTAACTGTTATTTTAGCTCTATCTAGTGTTGAACAATATTAACACTTTAAAAGTGTTGAACTTAACTCTATAAGAGTTGAATTAACATTTCCAAATTTGCTTTGTGAGATAAGTTCTATTCAGTTTATTTCTATAGCTCCAATTCACATCATGTCATCTCAGGTCACTTTCCAGTTCAACCAGATCATCCAGTCAGATTGATTCAAAGTTTTCTATCTAAGGAAAACCAGCTGATTGCATCGACTCATTGACTCTTCAGCAATCCCTCACACTAAGCATGCTTGTAGCGACAGTGGAGAGGAAAAACTCCCCTTGAACAGGAAGAAACCTCCAGCAGAACCAGGCTCAGTGTGAGCGGCCATCTGCTGAGGCCCACTGGGGTTCAAGGAGACAGAAGCAGACATAGAAAAAGAAGCATAGATACAAAAGGCAACTGTCAACCAGCTCCACAGGCGGCCCCGTCCAGGAAACACACAGCCAGGCAGACAAGCTCTGAGCCAGCTCCCATGTCAGAGGATGAAGAGAGCACATCCAGTTAGTCACAGTCAGAGAAACAGGACTACACTGGAAAACAGGCCAAGCTCCAACATCTAGAAACAAAGGTGTTGATGGCAGCAGCACAGCTGATATTTCTCTCCAGGATGGAGTCACAGCCAAACAGGAACAGACCAGATGAAGCTACTATGAGAAAAAGCAGAGAGAGCAGAACGTTAGAGATTGAACTAACAGATTCTGCAGAGTGGGAGAATAGAGATAGAATGAAGCAGAATGATGAAAAAGGGGTCCCTATGTCCTCCAGCAGTCTAAGCCTATAGCAGCAGAACTATAGAGATAGCTCAGGATAACCTGAGCCACTCTAACTAGAAGCTTTATCAAAAAGGAAAGTTTTAAGCCTAGCCTTAAAAGTAGACAGGGTGTCTGCCTCACGGACTAAAACTGGTAGTTGGTTCCACAGGAGAGGAGCCTGATAACTAAAAGATCTGCCTCCCATTCCCAAGAGAAGCCAGGATAGGAGAGATATGATCTCTCTTTTTTATTTTCATCAGAACTCTGGCTGCAGCATTTTGGATCAGCTGAAGGCTTTTAACTACAGTTTGTGGACTTCCTGATAGTAAAGAATTACAATAGTCCAGCCTTGAAGTAACAAATGCATGGACTAGTTTATCAGCATCACCCCTGGACAGGAGATTTCTCATTTTTGTGCTACTCTTCATTACTTTTTGCAGTCTGTCTTATCAAATACTAGCCCCAGACTCAAAAAAAAACAATATGAAATAATATTTTTCATGGTCTTATGTTCTGGAGGAGGCTGTCAGATTAATGGTGAAGCAGAGAGTTTGATGGATTAAAGGTTTTAATGATTCTGGTTATGAACACCTAGATGGGAGTGGAAGCCATAAATACCAACTGAAGTATTTAACCTGTTTTTTAATGGTTTCATTAAAGCTGTCTCCCTAACCTGGCTGAGCCTGCAGCTGCAGCGGTCTTGTCTTTCAGCCTGGTTTGGCTGCATGTGGGTCATTGGTGTCTGACCCAATCAAAGGGGAGGCGAGGCTGGAGGGCGGCCAGCAGATAATCTAACCGTTCAAAGAGTAACCAGAGCCGCTCCATCCGCGCACCTGTCAATGTTTAACCCGTTTGGTCTGTTTTCTTCTAAAGAGTGTGAAGTTCAGGGCTTTCTGCGGGGCGTTGGACCGGCTGAAGCTGGATGAGTCGAGCAGGAAACTCCCTCCGCGCACTTCCTCTTTTGCATTGTTGCAGAAAAAGGAAGAACGCTCAACAGGTCCGCGTCGGGCTTCCTGCCGGTTCGAGCCGACGGGTCCGCAGACTGTTGGAAGTCCTGCTTTGTTTGCAAAATGAGCCGCCTTAGTTGGCCTGGAGGCTCCTCGCTCAAACAGAAGGCGGTTTGTCTCCTTCTCAGCTGATCCAGAACACCTCTGCTCGTCCTTTCTCTGCTTTTCTCTGTAAACAACACAAAGCAAGAAGCTCTGAGCGAGCGAGGATCCTGAGGGCAGTTCAGGGTGGAGGGGAAGCAGAAAAGATAGAAGATGAGAGGGAGGGGGGGGGGGGAAAGAAAAAAGACAGAAAGAAAAAGAATGAGGGAGGAAATTGCAGTGTGGGCAGAAATCCGCCTTCTCCATTTCCTGGGGAGGAAGTGGATTAGATCGGAGCGTCGCAGCTCTGCTGCTCTGACTGAAGAATGCTGCCAGGCTGGATGTTTGAGTCACTGGAACGCTGCGCCGGCATCAGAACGCTGCGGTGGCATCAGAACGCTGCGCCGGCATCAGAACGCCGCTCCTTCCTGAACAACCGCAGCATTAAAGCCTCCATTATTTCCTTCATGTTCAAATGTTTAAATCTAACAAACTGATATAAATTCATTATTAACCCAGGTGTAGTTTTCTGTTCCTCCAACTAAACCTCAAACAATTTAATCGAAGGAAAAAAAAAAGCCACAGGATAAAAGTACAAAAAAATAAAATAAAATTAATGGTTGTTTTATTTTATTTTTTTATTTAAAATAGTCAAATAGTAAAATAGCTTGTTATTTCATCTGCTTCTGAAAAAAAAAGAATAACAAATCCTTCATTTTTATGCATTATATTCTTATCTGTCCACTGGTGTAAACAGCCCTCTTTCAGCCAGCTGGCCAGCAGTGTGCAGCATCGCGATACGGATCTGGAATCTGAAAATAACAGGAACGGAAAATCTACTTCTCGTGTTTTTATCCTGTGATGAAAATATCGTTCTTCGAATCATCGAAGAACTGAAGATGGATTTTTTATTTTTTAGCACATTACAGGAAAATTCAACTAAAGTTAAAAGAGTTTTTTTATTTTTTATTTCTCATAATTATTCCAGTTTTTATTTAAACAAACATCGGCGTTTCACTCAGGTGTCGATAATCTCTGGTGGTTCGTCCGATATCGTCATCCTGATAAATTTCCCACTAAAGAAACATTTTTTAATCCATCTTCATGATGATAAATTAAGATTATTTATGTTTGAAAGGATAAAAAATATCTAAATTGTCAGAATAATTTATTCATATTTATCTACTGTTTGTTCCAACAGAGAATTGATCAATTTTAAACAATATGGTGGAATTAATTTTAGTTTTCTGGCTTATTTTTTAAACTAAAGGTTGGATATTTAAAAAGGGTCAGTTTTTCCAAGTATTTATTTTTTATCATGCCTTAAATTCTTCGTCGTTTGTTTTCCCAGTTCAATCGAAAATCGATTCCAATTTAAATATGAATCGAAACCAAGATTGTCTCCTGAAAAATCTCAATATTAGTTTTTGCAATTCGTTCAAATATCGTCAAATGAAATATCTCGATTCTTGTATTTTATTTTGTATCGATAACAACGAAATGTTTTAATATTAGTATTTATAATCCACTAGAAATCCTAAAAATAATATATTAAATATGGAAATATTGCGATATTTGGGAGAATAAATTGATATTTTATATTTTTTTACCTACAGCTAGTTGTGAAGTTTCACACCAGCAGAAAGCCAAGCTTTGGTTTAAAAAAAAATGGTTACGAAAAAAAGTGTGTGGAGTAAAAACGTTTGACCTATCGCTGAAACAACCAATCAGAGAAATCAGATTGATCAGTTATTGAACTAATTTAGTAATGGGTTCATCGTTAACTTGAGTATAGAGACTCTAAAACACGCCTTTATCTGACAGACAGACTCAGAGTAAATATTTTGCATTTAAGATTAAAAAAAAAAAATCTGCCAATATACTCTATGCAGGACTCCTTAAGCGGAAAAGTTTCAGTTTTACTTGGTTTAATTTCATAAAAAATCTTCTTTGAGGAACTTTTGCTATCTGATTATTAATCAATTAATTGAAAAAATAATCAGCAGATGAATTGATTTTCTAAATGATCGTTAACTGCAGCCCTCGTTTCACCAGACGAGTTAAGAAAGGAATAAACGCTGATTTATGCTCAGAAACAAGGTGTAAAAAATTGCAGACAGTTCCGCAGAGAGGAGGCCTCTGATTGGTCAGATCTCCATCCGCTCTACTCTATCCGTATTTCCTGTTTGGTTCCTTACCGGCTTGTTCTGTTTGTCTGACCGCTGGGACCCTTTTCCCACCTGGATCTCCGCTCTTTTTGGCCCTCATGTCCCTCCATTGTCGCACAAACTTGCCTCCACTTCCTCACCGCCTCGGCCGTATTTAGACATGCGCGTTCACGACGCTACGGAAGCCGGCAGACCAAACCAGCGCA